GAAAATTAAAACTTGGGTTACCTTCTAAGCAGCATTAGTTAAAGTCAAACTTGATAACTTTTTCCAAAACTTTTTATTCATACTTAGGTTCACCCCTCCCAAAAGGTAGTTTACCTTGCTACATTCTTATTTGTGGTATTATATAAATAGAGCTAGGTTTAGAAGGTCTAGAAATCACACTATAATCTTTCACTTTTTTTTCAATAGCACAATCTCTTTTTTTTTTCTTCCTCATAAGGCTCCTATATTTGGGCTTAAGTTTTAATTTGAGGGTTTTTTTCTTGGTCACTTTTTCAACTCTATTTTCACTTTCACTAATCATTTCATAATTGACAAGTTTAAACATAATATATTTATTCTAAAATTTCATTATAACATCTTTTTTTTCAATATCAATCAAAGTTCTAATAGTAGCCAAAAATGGCCTCCCTAAAATGATGGGGATATCCTCATTCTCTATAATGTCTAAAACCATAAAATTAGTAGAGAATGCATACTTGTGCACTTTTACAAGCACATTTTCCACTATCCCTAAAGAAAACTTTTTAGACCTATTAGTAAATTTGAAATATATGCTAGCAGGCTTCATCTTCGTAATTCTTAATTTCTTAAAAATTCGTAAAGGTAAAAAATTATCATATGCTCCAAGATCATATAAACTCTATCACAGTAATATTCATCAATATAACAAAAATAAAAAAACTTCCTAGATCATTAAGCTTTGTTGGCAAATTTCTTTAAAGCGTAGTATTACACTCATCTATAATTGAAGTTTCCTTTAATTTATCTAACAACTCATTCAAAGGTGGCTCTTTAACTTATTATGTAAGATTGAATTGCAACCTTCTTCTTGTAGACATTCTTGTAGTAAGTTTCATTAAAGTTTCCCTTGGCTTTTTCTCATTTTTTATTTCCTTATTCTCAATTTCCTCTTCCTTAGCTAGTTCAACCTTATCATTATCATCTCCATCATCTTTAAGCTTAACCTTACTAGAATCCTTTCAATTTCATCATCTGTAAACTCATCCTCTATCTTCATCTCTATAGACTCATCAATAGGCTGCATTTCCTTTCATTACCCTATTCGACCCTTATTTTTTTTTTTTACATTGAAAATGTTGTTCACTTGCTCATTGCCTTATCTTTTTGGGTTTTACTCTGTAATGCTAGGCAAGATACCTTGAGGACGGTTATTAAAGGTATTTGCAAGCTATTCTACTTTAATCTCAAAGTTCTTAATAAATGTTACCTGATTTTACAAAATTTGAGAAAATATCTCCTTAATGAATAGTTTCTTTTCTTAGGGTGGTAATGGTAGAGGTGGATGGTATTGTTGTGATTGTGGTTGATGAAAATCGAGTGGGTTAACAAGTATAGTGTAAGAATAAAAAACTTGTCCCTAGCCCCATAAAAAATTTGGATGTTGCTTTCACCCAAGATTATAGCTTTTAGAGCAAGGGTTATATGGTTGCTTAGGTTGAACAACATAATAGATAGGCTTTGTTCTAATTAGGCATCTATCTAAGGAATGGTTCACCCCATAATTATCATAAGAAACAAAAGGACTTTAGATGGCATGAACATGGCTAGGTGCAAGGTTTGATCCTAAATTTTCAATCGTTTTTGCTAAAGTTGAAACACCTTGAGAAGTTAAAGCAGTTAAAGCATCAAGCTTATAAACCCTGACAAGTTTATTAGGAACTAACCTATCATTGGCTCACTCATAGTTATTCATGACTATCTTCTTAAAATCATATGCTTCATCAATGGTCTTACCTATTAAAGTCCCACCAACAGCAGTATCAATGGTAATCCTCGCTAACCTCTCAAATCATTATAAAAAATTTAAACTTGAAGCCATTTAAGTAAACCATAGTGAGGGCATTTTCTTAACAATTCCTTGTATCTCTCCTGAGTATCAAAAAGAGATTCAACCTCTATTTGCTTAAAAGAAGTGATGTCATTGCACATTTTAGCTATCTTTGATGAAGGAAAGAAATGAGCTAAAAATTTTTGAACAAGGTCATCTCATGTTATTATAGAACTATGAGGTAAAGACACAAACTAGCTCTTTGTTTTGTCCCTAAGAGAAAATGAAAAAATTCTTAGTCTAATGGCATCATTAGAAACATCATTTTCTTAAATGTATCAAAAATCTCAAGAAAATTAGAAAGATGCAAGTTAAGGTCATCACTAGCTAACCCATTAAACTAAACAAAATTTTAAATCATTTTGATAATTGATGGTTTCCATTCAAAATTACTAGCCTGAATGGTTGGCCTATTAATACTAGGTTAAAAACCATCTAATTGAGAGACAGCATAGTCCCTAAGTGTTATTTGATTATCTTATTGCTAGCCATGATAATTCAAGAGTTACTTGCTTTTTACCTTTTTTTTTTTTATCTTTGTTAAGTATTTTCTCAATCTTTTTATCTAAGGGCACTAAACTAGCACTCATAGTTCTTAGGATACAAAACAAGACTAACCAAAACAAGTAAAAGCAAGAAAATAAAAATCTAAGCTACAGGTAAAGCGATTAGTATTGTTGTTGTGATTTCCACTCAATTCCCAGCAATGGCATTAAAAACTTGATTAATGATATGCAAAAGCACTGAATCGTACAAGTAGTATAATATTAAGTAGATTATTGTTCTCACAAGGATTGAAAAATAGAAAACTCAAGCACCAAAATTGTATGCTCTTAAACCTATACTTAGAAAAATCAATTAAAATATATGAAAACCATAAAAACATGCAATATTATGAATCAATACCAAATTAAACTAAACAAGCTATAAATAACTAAAGACATGTAAAATTGAAACCAATATAACAATATAACCAAAAACATAAATCAATATAAAGCTAAATACCTAAACCGAAATTGAATTAACTCTAAATAGCATAAACCAAAAGTAATAATGCAAGAAAATAAGCAATACTGATCAAAAAACCAAATAGAAACTTATAAGAATCAAATATGCAATACCAAATATAAACCCTAATGAATTTACATGCAAACCATGTAAACAGAAACCTTAACTAAGTATAAATCATGCAAGTAACTTTATTTTAATTAAATAACATGTAATTAAATCAAATTAAACTTAAATAAAAATTAAATCAACTCAATATGCAAAACTCGAATGATATAAACCCTAATCTAACACAATTTTAGCTTCCACCAAGCCTCTACAAAATAAGTGATCCCAAGCTTAAAAATAAAATGTAAAAATCTCAACCCGAGTGTTTTTCTTAGACTCATTTACACTTTAGCAATCCAAGCTCACCTCAAACTCCAAAATGTCTTTCACACTTTGAATCAAGAAACAAGCTTGAAATAATGTATTTTAGATCACTCACTGATCAAATTACACAAAATAAGCTCACTACAAATTTGTTTATCAAACATAAGAAAAATAAAGCTCTAGACTCTTAAAGAGATTTCTTGATTTTGTTGATTGGATTGTCTTGATCTTTTGTTTATAGCTTAAAGTTTATTGTTCTTCAATGCTTTAGGTGTATTTAGAGTTGGAGTTGAGTTACTAGTCATTTGAAGATCAATTAGAACATTAATATTGGAGGATTTTAAGCAAATTTAAAAATCTAGCCATTGGAATATGATATTTTAAAATTTTTAACTTGGGCAGTCGGATGCCAAACATAAGCAGTCACATGCCTTGATCTTGAGAAGCTTTTATAAATATTTTTGCCTTGGGCAATTGCAGGGCAATTAAATGCTTTAGTGTTCTCCTGACATGACAGTTGGATGCCCTGTGTTCTCCTAATGGGATAGTCAAATGCCCATGAGGGTTGTGTTTTCCTTGGCTTTGTCATGTATTCTTTTTCTTCCAATTTCTTCAATACTTTTTAAACCAATTCAACTTTTTTCTGGCTTTTTCTTGTATCATTTCCCTTTAATTTCTTCAATGCTTCTCAAAACCAATTTTAAATAATTTAATCAAATCTTTCAAGGTTGTTCTTCGTATATTTGATCTTTGGCTTTACTTTAAGATTAATTCTAAGCACATTATGCTTCAAAATAATTCCTTGAACAACATGTTGCAACATTTAATCTAAAACTCTCATCATCTACTAAATTAGCTTTTCCTAACTATTTGGTCAAGTTTAAATCTTCATGAATTTGTGTTAATCACTTAATAATAAATGGTTAAAGTTGAAACACTTAATAAACTTATTAGACAAACATTAACGAGAGGTTTTGGAATCTTCAAAAACAATATGAGTTCAATAGACTCAACAACTTCTTGAATACTCTTTGAACCCTAAACATTATGCTGTTCAAAATTTCTTCAATTCTTCTTAACTTGATACTCAAGACTTTAGAGAAGTTTTGAGTCTTCACAATCTTATTCTTCCTTTCAAAATTGTGAATTGTATCAAAAGATTTGTAAGATAACCATTTTTATAGTTTCAGCATGCTAGATGAGACAAAGTTCTAAAAGAATTTAATTTGTTTGATTTTGTCTCTAAATTGTTTTGATTTAATTTGAGATAAAATCTTATTATTCATAGATGAAATTTAATTGGATGACGTATAAATTTTTAAAATTTGATTGGTTAAGATTTTGATTTATCTCTAAATTATTTTAATTTAATTCAAACATAAATTAGATGAATCAGATGAATTTTGATTGGTTGAAATTTAAATTTATATCTAAATTATTTTTATTAATTTAGAGATAAATTGAATGATTTATATTTTAATTGTCAAATCAAATGAATTTATAAAATTAATAACATATTCATCTATTCATAAAATTAATCATTTAATAAATAACTATATTTTACTTTATTGATTTTATTAATTCCAAAGGCAATAAAATGATTTGTCACTTAAAAATTCTTAAACTAACAAATTAAAAATAATTCAAATGGACCGTGACAATTTGTAATTGCCCATACTTTCCGACTGCTGCGGTGTCAAGGATTTGGGAGCCATATGCTGCCAGGAACTCAATTTTTGTGACTCGCGGCCTCATACATAAGAGGAACCATGGATTTCGATAGGGGTATGAGAGAGAAATCCTTGGCACATACAAGATGGATTAGAGGATGCTTACTACTTATGTCAGAGACCATCAGAGTAACATTGATGTTTTACCATTCAAATCTTACTAAAAATTCCACCAGTTTCATTCAACTCACATGATAGATTTGCTCCAACTTCAGAATTTCTCCAACTACAGGCTGATCCATTGGTTTATCTGTTTTTTTCTTCTTTTTTTTTTTTAATTTCTAATTTACTTTTAAACTTTCCTACCCTTGGTTTAAAAAAACCATTATATACATAAATTCCTTTAAACCTATATACTCCGAGTGTCAACTTCAATGTCCTGCAACCTGATCCAAAAAACAATTAGCCGTTTATATGTTAGTTGACTATATCTCTAAAGAGATTTACTTGGTTCAATATTATATTTACAATGTTTACTTACGTATATATTATATATATACTCTCATCCAAACCTTACTCACAGTCCAAGCGTTGACATGAACTTGTTGATTCAGGTCAACAAGAACAAATTATTATATGCTCCTTTGATCATGAGTCATCAAAACATAGAATATTGTACATTTTGTGCATCAAGCAAAGTAAAAGCCAAATTCACCAAATGCACCTACCATTAAGAAAAGATGTTATGCCAAGCCAAAACTTCACACAAAGGTCCCAATACTCTTCCCTAGCTACCATGTATACTACAAAAGTCTTATAAGGTGCATTTCTGCTGGTCTCCTTCGAAAGTAATTTTGGAAGGGTGACAGCCATTTCAACGACAAATCAAACCAATCATTTTTGTATCTTTCTTGGTTCCGGAAAGTCTAAAACATGCCTCATCTCAGGCTCAGCATGTATGATGTAGAACTCCTACCAAGAAAAATTGATGTTAATAAAAGCATTGTCCAAACAACTGAAAAAGAAAGATGAAAAAGTGTGTGTGTGTGTGTGTATATATACTTATCAAGAAATAAAAGGCACACATAAGCTTTCTTGTATACAAAGTAAAAAGGTAATTATGAATTTTAACCATTAGATTAACAAGTTCTCCATTTTCATCTCTTTTCATCCTTCCTACCAAGCAAAAAGAGCAAATCAAGAAAGGAGAGATTAACCAATACCTTGCATTCTCACATCCGTAAACATTTTGAAGCATGGAACAACAAAACTCAGTTAGTTAACTCTATCAAATTGTTTGTTAACTCTCTTCATCCACAAGAATAGTGGACTCGTTGCCAATCCCAATGTCCATTAAAGATGCCATTTCATCATCGAGCAACATTGGTAGAGGAGAGCCCTGAAAATTTGAACATTAATCACAAATGATATCCCAAAGCTAATGCATAATAAAAGCATACAGTAATTACAATAAGAAGCGCTTTTCTAATTTATGGATGCTAAAAGCTTAAGAAAGTGTCGTTCTAACACTTGTTCTTTTGGCCTAGTCATGTCCCACTTCTATAGAGATTTTGACATAGACCTAGGTCCACTAATGAAATTTAAGTGAGCCATCACCATCAAGGTTCACATACATAATTAATACAACTAGAAAAGAAAACAAACTAGCATAAGGAAAAATACAAAATAAAAGAAATCATCATGACTATGATAGAAGGTAAACCTCTTCTTGAAGAAACAATTTCAGCTTCAGGGACTTTAGTTTAAAAAAACTTTCACAAAGGGCTTTCAACTTGCCAACCTAAAATAAACAAAACTAATTGTGAGTGGATTTTCATACACATATCCGACTAAATATGTTGGAGAAAATTTATAAGAATATAACTGTGGTAGTGGCTGGCAATTTCTTTGTCAATGGAAGCTTCTCACCAACTGATAGGGCCACACATTTCAGAGTGATAGCTGCATGTTATTTACAAGTTGAAAACTTTTAAGTGTATAAAAAGAAGTTGATGAAAAGGAAATAATAAAAGGAAGAAAAAGTAATTGAAGATGCATACACAAGAGTCCTGAGGCCATCTTCTGAGGGCCTGCTGCTCCTACCAATGGCCTTTCATCCTCAATCCCATAAAAATTCTTCAACTCAACAAACCTGGGGTTGAAGTTTAAGTTCAGAATAGCAGTAAGATATTTCAGTTATGCACGTAGTTCACAGGAGCAAAATTTACCGGGGATGAAGCTGTTTTATCTCTTCTGGATTATCAAGCAACTTTGACATTACTAAGCGTACATACCTGCAAGAAATATTGTGTATTAATTTTAAGATAATACAGTTCCTTAGCATTATAAAAAAAAAATACAGCTCCTTAGCCAATATGAATGTTAATTTCTCTCTTGCTTTATCAAAGATACCATTATGATTATGCAGCTCATAGATTTTTCATCTAGCCTGCTAGCAACAGAGGGTGGAAATGGTTTTAAATCCAAAGGCCTCAGTACTTAAGTTGTTAATCCTCATGTAACTATTTCAAACGCAGGTTCCTAGACATCATGATAAGTTATCATCATCAAGCTATGATTTATTAAAATTATAGTATGACAAGACAAACTAATTTCCCTGGGATACAGACAAGTGACTTAAATGCTTCACATAAGCAGTATGATACAAGAAAAATAAAAATATATATACTAATATTAATAATTTGTCATAATCCATCTTCCTAGGAACTCATTTTAGCATGAACTGTTAACTTCAACAAGTGGGACCATGAATCACCAACCATTATGCTGTGCTTCACAAGATTAATGGCTGCCATTAAGCCTTAATTTCCTATAAACAAGCATTATGCCTTAAAACCATGTCTTGACAGAGGAGGTAAATATATATGAAAAGTCAAAGATTTGAGGTAGAAAGTAGAAAATAGCAACAAATAACATAAAAAAAAAAAAATCGAGAATAGGTGAGATTAAGGAAAGAGAGAATGAAACAAAAGCCATTCTTAAAAGCATGATTTCCTTCCAGAAAAGAACGAAGTAATGGACTATTTTACAAAGAAACATATACCGTATTTCTGACTCCTTTCTTTCACGAGCACTTATCTGAAAGGTTGTTGGATAAGAATACATCAGATTCATTAGAACTTCATAAAAAAAGAAAAAGAGGCAGGCATTTTATGCAGCTACTAGAGTTTACCTCACTACCATTTAGCATTTCAACTTTTGCTAATCGTGCAATTAAAACAAATCTCGGGAGACCACCTCTTCCAGGATCGGCTATCGGGTTATCAGAAAGCCTGATGTCCTTCAAGTAATAAAAGAATAGTAAAAAAAAGAAGCTAAACATTTGGGATGTAGCCAAGAGAAAGAGAGAAAAAGAGAACTGCAAAAATTTTTGCTTCAACATCAAGAAGCATAGTGAATACTAAAGTCTACTATCATCGAGATCTTGCTAACTTAGCCCAAATGTTAGCTTCGTCCTCTGCTCAAGGCCTAGTTTACCAGGTATAATTATCATAAAACTTAGTTGATCGAGCAGATAAACACCAAAAATATAAATTCGCCATCTCATAATACATGTCTCTATTAATCCAGCTTCATGTTTGGGCACCCTGATTGATGTGAAAAGATGGAAAAGGATAACAGAAGACATCCCAATTTAGTGGGCAGTTATGGTGCTATATAAGAATTATAGCATGAGTACAAATTGACATTATGTGCAGCAAGTGATATTTGCATGCATAATGTCACCTTTAACCACAAATATTTGATTTTACACCCAGAGAATTAATAATTGGAGTAGCAGCACGTTGTACACTCCAAAGCTAATATCAAGCACAGTGAGAAGCTGCTTCAGATGAAGAAACCTTACAATCAATTTCGGGAATGAGTTCAGTGAGTCAATTGAAGCCAGATCGCTAATTTTGTTACTTCCTGAAGCATAAAACAATTAGACAAAATACTAGAGAGCGAAACAGGCCAAATGATTGGGAAAAGAAAAAAGAGTTAATAAATTACCAAGAAGAAGGCATCGCAGATTTTGAAATGGCAAGCAGCTTTCCTCACTTGACTCATGATTGAGCAATTCTTGTATCATATTCTTATCTGGGTAAAAGATGCAGGTGAACTTGTTCTTGTTCAAATAAAGCTGCTCCAAACTGCGACCAAGAATCACATTGAGAGTTATGAGTTATCAAGAAGATTCAGCATAGAAAATATAGGGACACTCCTGGCAGAAGAGCATGAGCTTCATTCCAACCTTTTCAGTTGAGAAAGTTTCAAGATTTCATTCCATTCAGCTAAGCAATTGTCTTCCAAATTCAGAAGCTGTAAAGAATCAAATCCCCGAACATTGGAGGAAGATGTTGGCTGACAACAAAAAAAAAGAAAAAAGAAAAAAATGCTCAGACATGCATGACAAAATTAGTGACATTTAGAGTTTGGAATAACCAATTTACTAAAAAAATTAGAACAAAAAAAAAATCAAAAGTGAATGAGGAAATATTAAAAAAATTGTTTTTCTTCCTTGAGAGCATTTGTTCTGCAGGGACAAATCAAAAGATACTAGCTGTATAATATTCCTCTAATTTCACCACTGACTGTTCGTACTAGTTTAACTTGTTTGCCACAGTTTTCTATGCATCCCATAGAATTTGTGTATAATAATCCTAGAAACCATTTTTCACTGCTACTACTACCCATAACCCAGCATGCTTTCAACCCACAGCTTAAGTTAGTAACCCAATAAGTCTTGTTTTCTCTGTTGGATTTTCACCGACCAGATCAAGTTCTTGTCATGACAGTCCGGTATAAGGTAACAAAATTCTTCCAATATCAGTTAATCAACTAAATCCAAAGCCAGAATCACCTATCTTTCCCTTTTATTTACAGAACTAAAAACATCAAAGAAGAAAATACCTTTAATTAAAATATAAAGGCTTAGGTGAGAAATTAATTAAGGTATAAGGGCTTATTTTCTATTTTAGTCTAACAACAATTTACAAATCTTCAAACATTTTATAGACATCTTAAAGAGTCCATATAAACAAACATGATCTCACAGATCTTAAGGCTTTTATCAATGGAATTACAAAGGATAGGAAGATTACTTTGAGGGAGAGCTGCTTCCTATTCATTCAAAGCTTTTATTTACATATATTTACTTTCCTGTTGAATACTCTGTCAAAGTAGTTAAGACACGATAAAAGAACTCCTTGTGGAAATCTAATCTTCATTATTACTTGATTAGTTGACTTTATCTATTTTAGTTAATCTTTTATTTTTAGAATAAGGAGTAATTTGCATAATTACACCAAATCCATTAGACATTTTCCTATTATATGTGTAGAGAGTAGATTTCTCCTTTTGTTAGCTGTTTTAATGCATGAAAATCTTGAGTTTTAAGGCTGAGAATATTCAGTCTTTAGCCTATGTATTTTCATGCAATTCTAGTATTGTAATAAGAAAAATATAGAAGAATAAAATAGATTTATTCTAGGGATTTCTTCATGATATCAAAGCATGATCTAAACCTTTGAAATTTTTCACTCGGAGTCCAGCATGGCCAGCAGAAGGGAGAGCCCCGCGTTGGAGGTTATCTCTAACCCCAGAGCTAGCGTTATTGGAATAGGTTCTTTAGCACAAAAAGGTAATTTTCTAAGTGCCTTGAGTGTAAAACTAAAGAAATCAAATTCATGGATTGTGGATTTAGAAGCTTCAGACCATATGACTAAGGATGCATTTGTATTTAGTAAATACAACCCATGTCATGAAAACTTAGTTCGAATTGCTGATGGGTCACTTTCAAAAGTGGCCGATACAAGTTCTATTATTATTTCCAAAGAGATAACATTTGATTCTATTTTGTTTGTCCCAAATCTAAGTTGCAATCTACTGTCTATAAGCAAACTTACAAGAGACCTTAAGTGTGTTACTAAATTTCTTCCAAATATGTGTAAATTTCAAGATTTGGACTCAGGGAAGATGATTGGCAATGCTAAGAGGTGTGCAGGACTCTATATCCCAAGAGCTAATGATTCTGAAAGACAATATCAGAAGAACTTTTGCATGGCTTCATCCTCCAGTAATAATAAAGATAGTACTATCATGTTGTGGCACTAATGGTTAGGTCATCCAAACTTTTTGTACCTCAAAATGTTATTTCCCTCATTATTCAATAAAAACCCTAACAACTTTCAATGTGAAGTCTGCCAACTATCCAAACATACCCGTACCACATAACCTAATTAGCCTTACAAATCATCCCATCCTTTTTCAATGATACAAAATGACATTTAGGGTCCCTCCAGAGTAAATAACATTACTGGTTCTATATGGTTTGTCACATTTATTGATGATCACACCAGGGTTACTTGGGTATTCCTTATGAAGGAAAAAGCATAAGTGAGCCAGCTATTCCAAAACTTTAACAATATGATCCAAACTCAATTCAAAACCAAAATCACAGTGTTGAGAACCAACAATGGGAGAGAATACTACAATTCAATCCTTGGATCATATTTAATAAAGCACGGTATAATTCATCAAAGCTCATGTGTTGATACTCAATAGAATGGCATTGCTAAAAGAAAGAATCGACATTTGTTGGAAGTTGCAAGATCCATTATGATACCTGGCCATGTACCTAAGCATTTTTTGGGTGAGGCTGTTCTTATCGCTACATATCATATAAACAAAATGCCTTCTCGAGTCTCGAATTTCAAAGCCTTTGCCAATCCCTTCTCAGTTCCTATTCTCACCTTCAAATCATCTTGTCTATTCCCATTAAAGTGTTTGGATGCACTGCGTTTGTTCTTACCAACCAACAAAACAAAGCAAATTAGATCCCAAATCCATCAAATGCATATTTCTCGGATATTCCTCAAATAAAAAAGGATACAAGTGTTACTCACCAGTAACAAAGAACTTCTACCATTCCATGAATGTTACCTTTTTTGAAAATCATCCTTACTTTCCCAAAATTGCCATTTAGTGGGAGAATCCAATCACACGGGAATATCAGCTTTGGGAAAATCCTATTACCAAACCACCAAACACTTCTCCAACTCCCTTTCAAGTCCAAAACATCCAACCAGATCCTCCAAGCTCGAAATCCACATAAGGGAAAGCAAATAAAAAATTGATTGTCTATTCAAGAAAACATAAAACTCATAAGGATCTAGGAGAATGTACACCTTCAAAGCAAAGCCAAGAATCTGAACCGATTCCAGAGTTACTTGAAATCAACATAGGTAACACTCTTACTGAATCTGATTCAATTGAATCTTTTGAGGATCTTGATCAACCGATTGCTCTAAAGAAAGGTGTGAGATCATGTACTCAACACCCAATCTGTAATGTGATTTTTTATGAAGGTTTATCACCCAATTATCAAGCTTTGTTACCACACTAAACAATATGCAGATTCCTAATCATGTTCATGAAGCACTCATGCAACCAAAATGGAAGATGGCTGTTATGGAAGAAATCAAGGCCTTAAAAAAGAACAAAACATGGCATATTTCAAAATTACCCAAAAGGAAAAATCCAATTGGATGCAAATGGATTTTTACTATCAACCACAATGCAAATGAAAGTATTAACAGATTCAAAGCTTGCCTTATTGCAAAAGGATTTACTCAATCTTATGGTATTGACTATGAGGAGACATTTGCTCCGATGGCTAAACTTAAATCAATCGGGGTGTTATTATCATTGGCAGCAAATCTAGATTGGCTACTCCACCAACTAGATGTCAAAAATACATTTCTTAATGGCGACCTAGAAGAAGAAGTTTACATGGAAATACCTCCAAGATTCAAAAATCAAGACAATTCTGGCAAGGTATGTAAACTTCAAAAGTCTTTATATGGTCTCAAACAATCCCCATGTGCATGGTTTGATAGACTAATAAAAGTGGTAAAAAAGTATGGTTTTTCACAATGCCAAACCGATCACACCAAGTTTGTCAAATATTCACTTGAAGAAAAAATAGCCATTCTTCTTATTTATGTGGATGACATTATTCTTACTGGAGACTGTGGAAGAAATTAGCAACCTAAAGAACCTCCTAGCCAAAGAATTTGAAATCAAAGGTTTGGGACACCTTAAATATTTTCTTGGCATGGAAATAGCTTACTCATGGAGATAGCTTACTCAAGGAATGGCATCTCTGTTTCATAGCATAAGTATGTCTTAGATTTACTAAAGGAAACTAGAATGCTTGGACGCAAACCTGCTGACACCCCTATAGACACAACGAATAAGGTAGGAATGGAAGAAGGAAGTCTACCAACAAATAAGGGCAGATATCAAAGACTTGTTGGGAAACTCATCTACCTCTCTCATACAAGACCAGATATCGGTTTTAGAGTTAGCATGGTAAGCAGATTCATGAACAACCCAACAAAGGGACACTTGAGGGTTGTGTATCAAATCTTATAGTACCCAAAGAAGAATCCTAGCAAAGGGTTATATTTTAAGACATCACACGAAAAAGTTGAAATTTACACTGATGCTAATTGGGTTAGATCTATTATTGACCAAAGATCAACTATTGGTTATTGTACCTATGTGTGAGAAAATTTGGTTGCTTGGCGAAGCACGAAGCAATCTGTGATGGCTAGAAGTAGCGCGGAAGCTGAGTTTAGAGCTATGTCTCATGGCATATGTGAGGGAATTTGGCTAAAAAGGTTGCTAGGAGAGTTAAAGGTCTCTGCAAAAGAATCCATGAAAATATTCTGTGACAACAAAGTGGCAAGTATGGCAAAGAATCCCGTTCATCATCATAGGACAAAACATGTGGAGATTGATCATCACTTCATCAAAGAAAAGATAGAGGAAGGAATTGTTAGATTAGTTTATACTCTCACATGCCTCCAAACTACAAACATACTCATTAAAACTCTCTCTCGAAACAACTTCAAGAATCTGAAGTCCAAACTGGGCATGATTGACATCTACCACCCAGCTTAAGAGGGAGTGTGGAAATCTAATCTTCATTATTATTCCTATTATGTGTAGAGAGTAAATTTCTCCTTTCATTAGCTGTTTTAATGCATGAAAATCTTAGGTTTTAAAGCTGAGAATATTCAGTCTTTAGCCTATATGTTTTCATGCAATTCTAGTATTGTAATGAGAAAAATATAGAAGAATAAAATAGTTTTATTCTAGAGATTTCTTCACTCCTAGATCCAGATGCAGCCATGGAAAGAAAATCTAGCCAAGTCTAGCTACCCAATGCAATGTAATTGCATGTTAATTCACTTGGTGTTTTACTATGAGGGCCATTTCTTCAATGCTTAATGGACATGAGACTTGCATGATTCTAAAGCTTAAATCCTCTCAAGGATACAGTTAACTTAGTTCTTTATTAGGGTTTTTAAGTTGAGCACTGGGCCTGTTTTATGTTCATGCACAAATCAATAATCTTCCAAATTCTTGTGATTAAGGGGTATTTTATGATTTACTAGGAATATAGGGTTTCTTGCAAATTATCAAGAATTTTTTCATGTTCAATTGAAATTTAAAATGTTTAACCGTCTAGTTGGAATCCTTGCCCTAGTAGATTAGAGAAGTTAAGGCTTTATGAAGGGAATCATGTAATTTTCTTACTGAATCATCTACTCTGATGTGTAATGTTCTTTGTGGGAAAACACTTAGGTACAATTAGTTATAATCTTGTAATCTGTATATTTATATTTGTATCTCTAGAATTAAGTATTTGTATCCATAGAATTAATGACAGAAAATTAGGATAGACAATCCCTCAATTATAGGATCAGTTTTAGGAAGATTAGTTTCTTAGTTTACCTTCTAGTTAGTTGTTGTATATAAACCTAAGGTGCTTGTATAATTCTTAAGTTTTTCAATAAATAGTCAGTTTTACTCTTAGTTTTCCACAGTTTTTTTTTTTAGTTTTCCCACATGGTATTAGAGCTTTAAACTCTTTTTAGGGAGCAAAATTTTCAGCCTTCATTGCTAACTTCTATTTTAGACCTCCATTGCCGAACCTTGTTAAGGGCTTCATAGCCATTTTATTTTTCCCTTCTTTAGCCTTCATTGCTAAGACTTATTTCTAGTTATATCTTAATTGTTAAGACTTGTTTAGCCTAAATAAAGATAACAATGTCAAGGATAACAAAATCTGCTACCCCTACCACCCAATTTGAGTAAGTACCAGCTGATAAAACCATCGGAGTACTACAGATGTCTCAGAAACAAAAAAAGTTGGACAGAGAAGAGATTGAGAAACTAAAAAGCCTATTGAAAACTCTTGAAAAGTCTATTGGGGTATGTTCCTTGGATAAAGTCTCTAGTTCAAGTAAAATATTTGATTCTCATGGATTAAATATCTTGGTTAAGCCTGTTATGAGTTCCTAGGTCATGACTCAGGAGCCACAAATTACATGACACATTCCTCACAGAAGTTTAGTACATATCTTGTGTCCTAGTAATAAGAAAATTGTTGTTGCAGATGGTTCACTTATCGTAGTGGCAAGATTAGGAGATGTTCAAATTAATCCCTCATTTGTTCTTAAAAATGTTCTTTACATTCCTCATTTGTTTACTAATTTGATATCTATACAAAAACTTACTAAAGACGGGAGCTGCAAAATGAATTTTTGTCCCTCTTATTGTGAATTTCAAGACCAAAGTTCTGGGAAGAGGATTGGACTTGCTAAGGAAAAGGATGGACTATATTATCTTGAGACATCAAACAACACAAGTAATATCAAGAATAAATAACTTTGTCATTTCTTTCTAAAAAATCTCCCAATAAAGACAATTTGGTTTTATCATTTTCGTCTTGGACATCCTTTTTTTGGAACTTTGAAAAACATGTTTCCTTTTTTGTTCAAAGGATTAAATATTAAAAATTTTCATTGTGATGTTTGTGAACTTGCAAAGCATAAATGTGTGTCTTTTCCAATTAGTAATAAAAGAAATTTTACTCATTTTTACTTGATTCATAATGACATATAAGGTCCCTCTACAATTCCTAATATTTCAAGTGCAAGGTGGTTTGTTTCTTTTATAAATGATTGTACTAAGGTCTTTTGGATATTTTAACTTAAATCCAAATCAAATATCAATAGTGTGTTTTTAAGCTTCTAAAACATGATCCAAAATCAATTTGGAGTGAAAATCAAGAGATTTAGGTCTAATAATGCAAAAGAGTATTTCAACCAGAGTCTATCTACCTATTCCCAAAAAGAAGGGATTATCCACGAATCATCCTGTATTAATACTCCATAGCAGAATGAAGTGACAGAGAGAAAAAAAATAGCCATTTACTAGCCACAACCCAAGCCTTACTTTTTCAAGCAAACGTAGCCAAATCCTATTAGGGGGAAGCTATTCTCACTACCACACACATTATAAATAAGTTGCTTTAAAGGGTTTTGGGATTTAAAACTCCTATGGAATTACTCTCACAATTCTATCCCAACTTTAATACCACAAACAACCTCACACCTAGGATATTTTGTTGTACATCATTTGTTCACGTTCACAATCATAGTAGAGGGAAGTTGGATCCTAGAGCAATTAAGTGTATTTTTGTGGGGTATTCATCAACTCAGAAAGGGTATAAGTGCTATCATCCTTTTACAAAAAATTGTGTCTGCAAATGTCACTTTTGAATAAAGTAAACCATTTTTTACTAAGTCTTATCTTCAGGAGGAGACTTCATTCATGGAAGATAAGGGTAAAGGCTTTTTTTTTTTTGCTTGACTTGTCTTCCTTCTCAACATTTTCACCTATTAATTCTTCTGAGTTTAAACCTATTTTTTCTAAGTCCAAGTCAATCACTGAATTTGAGTCTGAACTTATTCCAAACACAAAAGCTGTGACAAAGGATAATATTGTTCTTGATTCTATGAAGGAATTATAAGTGTACTCAAGAAGGAAAGTTTCAGCTCCTAAATTGGTGCAAGTCCAAGAACCTGATCCTAACTTTGAAAATGAGGTAACTATAGTCTTTGCTCAATTTCTCAAAATGAGCATGAATCTCCTTAAACTAAAACTAGTTGGGTGTAACTCTGAAAAAATCCAATTTGGTGTAAATGTGTTTTCACTATAAATACAAGGCGGATGGTACTGTTGAAAAGTATAAGGCTAGGTTGGTGGCTAAGGGCTACACTCAAGCTTATGCAGTGGATTATCAAGAAACTTTTACTCCATTGCCAAGATGAATACAGTTAGGATTTTGTTATCCTTGGTTGCAAATTACAATTGGCAGCTTCAACAATTTGATGTAAAGAATGCTTTTCTACATGGTGATTTGGAAATATATATATATATATATATATGAAAGTTCTACTGGGATTTGGAGATCAGCTAGAAGCAAACAAAGAATACAAGCTGAAAAAGGGTTTATATGGCCTTAAACAGTCTCCTAGGGCTTGGGTCGGGAGATTTGCCAAAGTGATGGTAGCAATAGAATTAAGCAGAGTCAAGAACATCACACACTGTTTATCAAGCACTCAGATTCAGGGAGAATCACAGTTCTATTAGCATATGTTGATGATATAATTGTAACCAGAGAATAAAAAAGAGAGAGAATCTCTAAAACAGTGTTAGGCTAGAGAATTTGAGATAAAAGAGCTATGGGGATTGAAGTACTTTTTAGGAATTGAAGTAGCTCACTCACCGCATGGTATTTTCATCTCACAACAAAAATATGTGATGGATCTTTTGAAGGAAACTAAGAAGCTCTCATGTAGACCTGCAAATACCCCTATAGATCCTAATCATAAACTTGGAAAAGCTAATGAAGATGTTGTGGTAGATAGAGAGATGTACCAGAGATTAGTTGGAAGACTCATTTATCTCTCACATACCAGACCTGATATAGCATATGTTGTGAGTGTTTTAAGTCAATTTATGCATAGTCCTTAAAAAGTGCACCTACAGGCTGTCTATTGTATATTACACTATTTGAAGGCCAATCCTAGGAAAGGTATCTTGTTCAAAAAAAATTTGGGACTGATTCTAGGGCATATACAGATGTGGATTATGCAAATTTGTTAACTGATAGAAGATCCACCTTAGGCTACTGCCCCTTCCTAAATAACTTGTGACTTGGAGGAGTAAAAAACAGAATATGATGGCAAGATCAAGTGCTAAAGCAGAGTTTATAGAGCAATGGCTCAAGGAATTTGTGAACTACTATGATTAAAGATTATCTTAGAAGACTTGAAGATCAAGTGGGATGGACCAATGAGAATCTACTGTAATAACAAGTCTGCAATAAGCATTGCACATAATCCTGTGCAACATGACAAAACAAAACACATTGAAGTAGACCGGCACTTCATAAAGGAGAAACTAGACAGTTGATTTGTACACCATATATATCAACCAAGGGTCAACTTGCAGATGTGTTAACTAAAGGTCTCAACAGTGCAATATTTCAGCAAATTATATCCAAGCTAGGAATGGAAAACACCTATTCACCAGCTTTAGGGGGAGTGTGGGAAAACACTTAGTTACAGCTAGTTGTAATCTTGTAACATGTATATTTATATTTGTATCCCTAGAATTAAGATAGAAATTAGTATAGACAGTTTTATAGGATTAGTTTTAGGAAGACTTAGTTTCCTAGTTTACCCTCTAATCAATTGTATATAAACCTAAGGTGCTTGTATAATTCTTAAGAGAAGTTTTTCAATAAACAGTCAGTTTTACTCTTAGTTTTCCACACAATTTTATTTTTTAGTTTTTCCACATTCTTCATTTTGAAATCTTATCCACTTCATTCCTTCACTTTCTTGTCTTAATTTATGCATGAACATAATTGATCTTACAGCAGTTCAAGCCGCCAATCCACTTTTGCAAAACATAATCCTCTTTTTACTATGATTTGCACAACCTGGAACAAGTGAGATTTGTTTTCCACTCTAAGAAGACTGTTACTCTCTACACTGACTAAAGTTACACTTGCTGTAATATGAAAACACAAGAAATTTCAGGCGAGATAAGGACATTGACAAGAACAAGAGCATGCTTAAATCTGAGATCTTATATAAAGCCAAAACAAAAGTTTGTGTATAAACCCTTGATCAGTTTATCGTCCAGAATGATTTACAATGGAAAAATAAAAAGACTGATATATGCTGTTCAAGAAATTAAAAATTGAAATTCCTCTATCCAGTTCTCTCTTTACAATTATCTTGCAGATCAAATAAGGATTTTCTTTTCTTTTTATTTTCATTTTGCGGGAGAAACATATAAAATAAGAACAGGCATAGAAAAGTAGCATGTGTTTTATGTTTATAACCAATAAAAGGGCACTTAACAAAAGCTAGAGTGATAGTAGTTTCTAGACATAATTCTATTGGAGATTAAGTTAAACAAGTGATACCTTTATGGTGCTTATGTTATTCCCCATCAGGTGTAACTCCTCAATCACTGGTAATGAATGTTCAAGGATTTCAACCTGCCATGTCAAAAAGATACCAAATATCTTCAATTATTGTGATCTTACAACTATAAAATCTTTGCTTTCTCTCTTTAAATTTCTTCATTCCCATGCATATCTTAATTTGCACGTAACTACCATTCCATAATTAAAATAGTTCCACTTCCACTCATTACTTTTATAAAGCACACCTCTTCCCATAACTTATAACAGCATTCTACGAATGAAGGAAGAGTAGTCCACCTGTGACCAGTTTATGCCTGTATTGTTCAAAACTAAAACACGGATGCCTTTTAGTAGGGGCAACCCAGTGATGTTCTGTATCATTAAATTATTAGACAAATTGAGTGCTACAAGATGCGGTAACTGTTCACATATGGTGCCAACATCCTGCATTAAAAGATTCATTCAAACAAGAGTAAGCTAAGCAAGAGAGCATGGTCATGCAGTGCCAAGCAGTAATTGACTACTAAGGCAGTTCTAGAATAACAAGCAAGTAAATATAACATTAACATATGACCAGTCTCTTAAAGGTTAAAGCAGAACAATTGCATACATCATAGAACAACTATTACATCTATAAAAAAACTCAAATGATGATCTCCCTAAAAAATTAATAACATTCTCATTACTTGATATAAATTATATACATATGACCCACATGGATACATAACTTTAGATGTCAAAACATGCACAAGCATAAAGTTAACACTAAAGACCTAGAAGCAATTTAACATTTATAAAATACTTCTATGAGAATCTTATAAGTTAGTAGTAACTTTGCAATGTTATCTAAATATTTCTTAGCACCTTGGCGCACAAAAGCATGCATAAAGCAACAGTATACCATGACTAACAACAATCAAGAAAACCAAATAAAGGCCCCAGAAATACATTGCACCCAGTGGAAGGGATACTAATTTTATCAATACGGAAGGATTGGCAAAATGGCACAATTTGCCGCATATAAGACATACTCTAATCACTATATATTAACTCTGAAATATATAAAATAAGCAATGCATGGTAAATTCAGAAAATGTTCCTTAAACCCTATCCATTTATGGCCAAAAAAGCTATTTCCAAAATTATCTCAAGTAATTCATTTCCTTCAATGAAATTAAAATTAGCAACTTCAATTATATTCCTAAATGAAAGTTTCTTATCAGCCAGAAAGTGTTCTCTATAATGCAAATAGTAGAGGATGATATAAATACAGAAAGCATGTAAATGCTATAACAACCATTGAAACAAAGAACACCTTTACTGAAGGTAGCCCCAACTAGGACCACTTTACCTTCCAATCCAAAATCAAATTTCCTGTCAAGTCAAGCTCCATTAAATCTGCAACAAGAACACAACAACAAATAGTCAGCAAAAGTACAATACATACAGTTGTACCAGCAACTTATTCAGCAAAATGCAACAAACACATGACAAAACTCCAAAAAAATGAGTTTACATTGATTGTTTTAAGCTGCCTTAAAATTTGAAGAAAAAGAAAATAAGATAAAGAATGTGACAAAGTTAAGCAATATATCTTAAAACCATGAAGCATACCTTTCTGCCTTTCTAACACGCTTAAGCCAGCAGAAAAAATCATAAAACTAATATCACATGAAGTGCAGCAACCAGCTCAATCGTCATGCCTATGCTTGTACAAAACTTAGTTTGAATGGTACAAGTAACTTATTCAAGCTTCCGGAACAAGCACAAAAGTTATCTTATTTTGTCACTTCTACTCTATGCCAAAAGTAAAAATTGCAATATTGCCTTCCAAGGAGGAAAAAGTTGACTACATATTCCAAAATTCAAAAACAAAAACAAAAAAAATTAGCAAATATGAGCTTGATTTCTTTTTTTACTATTCAGACATGCATTGAGAAACAATATCATATAGGCATTTTGAAATCAGTGATTCTCATATTTCAGGAGCATCCAAGGATTTTGTTTTTCTTCCCTTCATTTCTCTTTTTGAAAACTAAAGTTTAAGATTAAAACATGAGACGACATCAAGAGCAAATCCACAGCAATAAGCAGCTAACCTGGAAAACTATTACAATGAAACTCAAATGACCAGCAACCTAGAAGTAAATTCAAGGAGGATGCTCATTATTTTTATAATAAGACACTATCTTTTGCACATGCAAAAGGAGTTATATTTCTTTAAATCATCAATAAAGCCTATTCTTAACTTAATTAACATAGGAAAAACTACAAAGAGGAATGAAGCAATAAAATTCAAATATCATTATTTGGATATCAGGATTTATATATAAAAATTAGCTAATACATTAAAGAAATCTCTCAGCACTCGAGTTACAAGATCTAATAATTTTTTTTTAAGTGCAGATTTTGATAGACAAAAAGGAAAGAGCAACTCACTTGGCACAGCAGCACGAATTTCATCCGGACCTCCAGGAGTGGTGACACCCAAATAGGATATTGAAGCACTTTTCAGCTCTTCAAATCGACTTAGCTTATCTTGGATCTTATCTTTACCCAATAGTTGAACAGATACACGCTTGTTGCTGGCCGAAAGCACATACATTTCATCTGCAAAAACAAATTTCCTTTCTTTTTCAGTTCACATAACAAAACAAATTACAAGTAGAAAATGCAATCATAATTGATTAAAACTAAACAAGACATAGAAAATTTACCCAAGTTATAAGCACAAAAGTAAAATCCCATATATTTAGTTTTTTTTTTTTTTAGTATGGAAAACCCAAATCAATGAGGTTAGTGACTGAGTTATTGTACAATCTTACCCTCATCTTGTTTGGTGGAGTGGGATTGATATCTGAGCTTAAGAGCTTCAAGGAGCGAAATGCCTGGGCTGAGGTTATGGGCTCTCACGAATGAAGCTGAGTTTTGGAATCGAGCTTGGAAGTATCGAACGCCATTGATGGAGCCATCATGTTTGCCATCTCCTTCACGGTCCCAGTCGACCCCGACCCACGTGCCTAAGTGCCCTTCCACGTCGCCTACGTACTTGACCGTACCCACTCGGCGCGGATCGGTGGATGAGTGGACTCGTTGTCCTAGTGTGAAAGACGAGCTTTGCTCCATTTTGTTGGCTTGTCTTGTTAGTTAATAGAATAGCGTAATTGGGTCAAGTTGTTTGAACTGAAGAGACTGAAAGGAAATTGCAAATGCGATCAATTGACAAGAGCATGATGACAGAAACAGAGGGAAAGAAAAAATAAAAACATTAACGCTATATTTAGATACATGTAAATAAAGGAAAGAAAAGAAAGAGAAAATTTTTTAAACGAAAAGAAAGAATATTTTTTATTTGGATAGTTAAAATTAATATAAAAATAAAATTTAATAATAAGATAAATAATAAAAAAATAATTTATTATTTTTTTCAATTATAATTTTGTTATAAAGTAATATATAAATATATTTTTATTTTATCTATTTTATATAAATAAATTTTTTAAATAAAATTGAATATATTTAATATAATAAAATATATTAATTAATTATTGATTTATTTTTAATTTTATGTTTAATTTAATTTTTTAATTTATTTTGACAATAATTTTATTTATTTTGTTGTTAAGACTTAAAAAATTATAAAATATTTATAAATTAGGATGTTATATAAAATATTTATAAAAAATTATTTTTGTAAAAAATATTAATAATATAATCAAATCTAATGTTATAATAAAAATATAGATATAATAATTTTTTAAAAAAATAAAATTTTTTCAACTTTTTTTCTTTAAATTTTTCCTTAATTGAAGTATTTAAAAAATAAAGATTACAAAAAAAAAAATCAAGAGATATCAAATTTTTATTTTTTTAAATTAAAAATTTATTCAAACAAAAAAATTTGTTTCTAGTACTTTTTTTTTTTATCTTTTTCTTCTTAATCCAAATATAATGTAAACATATGAAAATTATTTTCTAAAAATAATTTTTTTATTTTTATTTTTTGTATTTTTTAGTGTTGATAATGTTAGCCGCAGTAACAATGACAAACGCTTTTGGACACTTTAACTGTTATGAAGCCACGTCCTATCGCGTTTTTGGTTTGGGTTTTTCCAAGATAAAAGACATTAATAAAATAAAAGATAAAATATACTTCAAAACTCTTTCGGTCCAATTTTATATTAAAAGACATTAATAAAATAAAAGATAAAATATACTTCAAAACTCTTTCGGTCCAATTTTATATTAAAAAAAAAATCTAAAATTCTACCTCTCAAAATTTTTTTGTGAATTTTTTATTTTTTTAATTTGCAGGATTATTTTTTTAAAACTTGATTAACCTTTTCTTTTTTAATTTTAAGTTCAACGGTGGGTATTCTGTTTTATTCTATTTCAAGTGTAAAGTTATGTATAGTTTTTTTTTTATATATTATTTAATTGATAAATTTGTTGACAATTTCAAATGAATTTTTTATGTGGTTTTTGTTATTTAAGTTAATTTAAAAATATAAAGATTAGTCCATGAATTACCAAGAGGAGTTCGAGTTTAGGAGGACAACAAAGGTTAGTAGCGGCATATGGTGGAATCTAGGCGTGACCAGAGATGGAAACCTACGTGGTGAAAGTGAAATTTGATAGTGCAGTGGAAAAGGATCCGAAACTGAGAGGAATATAAGTGATAATCAAGAATGTAGAGGGTTAGGTCATGGGTTCACACAATGACAGAGCGCCAAGGATTACACTCATTTGCTGTTGAAGCAATTGCTGCAACTCGGCTATTGGATTTTGCTAAAGAGATGGGCTTTAACGAAATTATATTAGGAGATGCCTTATCAGTAATAACCAAGCTGCAGACAAGGATTGAATATCTCTCTCATAGGATCAATTATTAAGGAAGGGAGAAACAAAGCTCGACAGTTATTACAAGCTAACGGTTCATGCATCTTTAATTCTTGAATGAATGATAAGCAATTTGATTTAAAGAAAAAAAAAAAAGAATACCAAGTGAAGAAAGAAAAATTTGCAATTATCAAAAGATCTACTAAGTTTTGCTTTTAATCCAACTTTTTTGCTGTTCTTCTTGTTTTTAGGCTGTATAGATAGTGCATTGTTTATACTTATATGCTGGCTAAGCGTGCGTAGGAAATGTTTGATAAAATACCAATGAAAACTTTTTTTTCTTGTATTGTTTACAAAATTTTGTCTAAATTTTATTAAATTATTTTTAAAAATTTTGCTTTTCGATACAGAATCAAAAAATATATTTAGAAACACTTATACATCATATTAAGGAAAAGCTATTAAAATCAGGATAGCATCGGGTCGGGTTCGGGATGAATTTTGCTCGTCTCGAACCCGATCTGATTTTATGGTTTATTAAATCCGAACTTGATTTTTTATATACGAATTCGACTCGATTCGATGCTACGTAAATTATACACGATCCGATTCGAAATTAATAAAATATTATTTTTTAAAATATAAAATATTATTTTTTAAATATAAATATTTAAAAATATAATTATATAAATATATATAATTAAATAATTAATTAAAAAATAATTTTTTATATAATGTCGGATCGGGTTTTAGGCATACCCGAATTCAACTCGACTCCGATTGCTTCCTAATTATACCCGATTCAACCTTAAACTCGAAATTCAAAAAAAAAATTTAACCCTATAAAATCGGATCGAACCGAAACTCTCCGATACGGGTTTGATTCGCGTCCCTAATTAAAATCTAGCAGAAAGCAAGTTATAAACTTTTTCTGTTGCTGCCTTTGAAGCAAGTTACTTTGTTTTCATAGAATTACCACGATAGACTGTGGTAAGTTTTTAGTTCAAAAATTACCGAAGCCCAAAAACGGAGCAAAGGAATAAAGGAAAGTAATTGGGCTTCACTAGAGGTAACGCAATTAAAGTAATGGGTTTCTTTTGGACCTTAGATAGGGCCCCAAGCCCAATGAAAGGAGCAATAATTGTTCTAATTTTATGTCACTTAATAAGATAGAAATAATAAAATACTATTTATTAAAATAAGATATGATATAATTATGTTTAAATTTTTATTTCAATGTTGTTATAAAAATAGATAAAATTAAGTATAAAATATGTAATATATAATTTTTTTGATTATATTTGGTACATAAAATTATGATAGGATATGATAAAATAATATTATAAAAAAATTAAATTAAATAATATTATCATATTTTGTGTTTAATATATGTAAGAATTAAGATAGAATAATTTATTTATTTATTAAAATTATCTTTTCTCAAATTTTATATAATTTAAATTATTAAAATAATTTTTAAGGATATAATTAGATACGTAAGTTTAATCTCATTGATTAAAAATAATCATTTTTACTTGAAAATGATTAAATAATCTTATATTAAGAGGATATTAATCTTACTTACAATCTCTATCCCTCTTTTTATATATAAATCAAACATGATATAAAATAATTATTATCATATCCTATCAATAATTTTACGCATCAAATATGATCATTATTTATTAAATTAAAAAATAAATAAAATTATATTTTATATTTTATATTTTATTTGTTAACTTGTTCTATCAATTTATATAAATATATATTTTAAATTTTATTATTTTTATAAAATATCATAATATTTTATAACTTTATTATAAAATCGACAAATTTTGATTATATTGACAAACCCATAAACTTAACCTGTCTTTAAAATCCTTTTAATTACCGGACAAGTCTATAAAATCAATTCTCAAATAGCTCTATTTCTCATCTTCTCTCCAATCATCTTCTTAAAAAATCAAATATCTTTCATGAAAAAGAAATAAAAAATATCCGTAAATGATGATAAAATAAAATAACATCAAAATATCATCCAAATTCTTAAGCCCCATATTCATTATACTTATAAATAATCAAATTACTATGAATCAAATGTACTCAATCACAATAAAATTATATTAAAGAGCCTAAAACCCATCAAGGTTTTTATTGATCTGGATTAATTAAAATTATTTTTGAAAATATTATAAATTTATATTTAATTTTGGTATACTAATTTTAATTCTTTCATTCTTTTTCACCCAAAAAATATTTTTCTTAAAAGGGGTTAAAAAATAAAAACAATTAAAAAACTAAAATTAAAGAAAAAGCTTTATAAAGTTAGTTTTTTTTTTTTTGGTAATTTTTTTAATGAAAAATGACTATTATTAATTCTTATAACTTTTTTTTAATTTATACAATTAAAAAAATATTTACTAATAAAAAAATGTATTTTTAATAATATTTTTATCAATCCAACATTGATTAGAATGATTTGATAATTAAACCATTTAATCCAAAATCTGAAACCTTAAATAGGTAAATATGTGATCCAATTATAGTAAATATGCAAAGCATATTTAATTTTCTTACTTTCTCTTTTAATCTGAAACTCAATTTCTTACCCAAGTTCGACTCAAAATGATGAGGATTTTAATGTTTAATGAGCTTAAACATTTTGCTAATCCAAAAAACCTATAAGAACCAACCCTTAAATAGTTTTACTTTTAGTCTTCTCAATTATTCACACGTGATGATAAAATAAAACAAAATCAAATCAAATCAAAATATTATCCAAATCCTTGAACCTCTTATTCATTATACTTACAAATAATCAAATTACTAAGAACCAAATATATTCAATCATCTTAAAGTTATGTTAGAAAAACCCGTAATTAATCAAAGTTTTTATTGATCCTGATCAATTAAATATTTTTTAAAAAAACGATTTTAAAATTATACTTAATTTTTGGTTACTAATTATTAGTTCTTTCATTTTTTTTTTCAGCCAAAAAATATTTTTTTTAAAAGAGGTTAAAATAAATAATAAAAAACATTTCAAAATACTAAACATTAAAAAAATGTTTTATAAAGTTGGTTTGCTTTGTAATTTTTTAAATGATAAAGGAATGTTTTTAATTCTTATAATATAATTTTTTTAGTTTATTCAATTAAAATTATTTATAATAATATTTTTATCAATTCAAAATTGATTCAAATGATTTGACGGTTGAATCATTTAATGGAAACTTGAATCTTAAATTGGTTAATATATGATCTAATTATGATAAATATGCAAGGCATATTAAGTTTTTCTTTAACTTTCTTTCTGATCCGAAACATATTTTCTTATTAAAGTTCAGCTCAAAATTATGAGGATTTTTATTTTTAATGAGCTTAAACATTTTGTTGATCCAAAGAGTCTATGAGACTCAACACTTATAGCTCTACTTCTCGTCTTCTTTCTCAACCATCTTCCTAAAATGTCAAATATCTTTTATGAAAAGTCTAAAATATCCACACATAATGACAAAATAAAATTAAAAAAATCAAAATATCATCTAAATTCGTAAACATCACATGCATTTCACTTATTAATAATCAAATTACTAAGAACCAAATATACTCTATCAAATTAATTTATATTTACTTTATAAACGAGAGTATTTATTTTTACAATTATTATGATATAATTAACTAATCATATTTTAATATTATGTAGAATTTATTGAAATGTTATATGAAACTCATATTTATAAGTTATAGATCTATATTTTTTTATTGTAATTAAATAATTACAAAATTATAATAAAAAAATTTATAGGTGAAATGGCAATAACCTTACTAAGAATACTTCATTTTCGCATCCAAACATTTGGGTCGCGCGGTAGTGATCCTTGCTCAAAATATATGCTCAAATCTTCACTTGAATAATAATTAAAAAAAAAAAGTCTTTTGCAGGATTGATATATTCCCCACCAAAGGGTCCCAAAATGTCTTAGAAATAAAGAAGGAAAATTAGAGTATGAATCGTATATGAAGTGAAAGTATAACTATACCACTCCCTATGGAGAGAGAATTATTTATATAAAAGAAATCAAATTGGAAGTCTTCTGCAAATGAAGTGAATAAGAGACTGTAGGAAGGTTTTAGAAGTTTCCTCCTTATTAGGCAGCTTTAAGAGGTGAGCCACTTTTGAAAATCCTAGATGCTGCTTATGGTATAAAGACTCATCAATCCCTTCATATGGATGTTTCATCTCCTCTGTGAAGAGTTTTGGCTTTGTCAATGCCCATTGCATTGCCCATATTGCTAAAGGCCTCATGTAACAGAGGGATCTGAATTCGTCATCCGTATTCCACCCTTCTGGAGTCTGAAAAGAGTATCTGTTAAACAAAACACAACAGAGATAATTAACTAAATTTAATCAAAGTTCCAAATTTTCTAGTATCAGAACTAAGGCCCCGATATCACACACACACGCACACATCCTCATCTGATATGTCTTCATGATACCATGGTGCTTCATAGGAATAAAGGGACTTGCTATTTTCCAGAAGCTAATCAAAGTGCCTCTACCTCACATAATTGATTTACGAAACTCATAACTAAGAATGGAAACCAACTCACCCGAGACCCTGCTCTGACCAGGCAGCTTCATAGGCACCAGCTGCTGTTTTGAACGCCGTTTCCATCATCCCCTCTTGAATCATGGTAGCGGCAAGAGCATATGTAACTCCAGCCCAAATTTCCCTTGATTGCATGCCTGAATTATCAACTGTTCCATCCGGACGCATCCCATTTACCGCACCACGCATACCTCCTTTCACCTTTAACACATTGAAATCATAAATTTTTTCAAGTGCACTTCTCACTTTGTCATCATCTGCAATTGGCATGAGACCACTTGCTCCAGCGTACCTATAACATCATCACCCAAGTTAGTTTCTGTTAACATTTGCATGGCAAAAGAGATAAAGAATCCTTATATAAAATAGGAGCATGATGGTGCTTATAGTTCAAAGGGCAATGTGATTATTGTACTTGTAGCATCATTAGGAGCAAGAGATCCAAATTAGCATCAAATTTGAAAGGAAGTGCAACTTCGCAAGGAAACTAATTGAGGCAAGAAAAAAATTCAAAACTTCTTTTTCATGAAAACTTTATTGTACCAGACAGTCTTCTGGGATTGAAAAACTGCATCCTTTAAAGTTTGGGTGTATAAGCACATGAAAAGAAACACAAATGCTTCTGAATAAGACAGATTTATTTCATTTCACATAATGCATAATGTCATTCAATAAAGACATTCCAGCTTAAGGAAGAGACATGTCTGACTAGGATTTCCACATTTAAATTGCTCGCGATGGATTAAATAACCAGGTAGTAATGGAAGGACTGATAAAAGTACACTTAAACTAGTTCAACCCCTCAACCAGCTAGATGGGATCAGATAAATGAATCCTCTTGCACCGCTTTACTTTACTAGAGGCAACTAGGGTAATAGGAGTATACAACTTTTATAATTTTTCTGAACATAAAAGGAAGATTTTAATTCAACTAATGGTGAATTGGACACAGAAGATAACCTATTACAGTAAAGCTGTGCTACTTCTGGATCTATTCTTTTTATCATTTCCATGTAAAAGGAAGCATGGGCACACAGGCTTTCAAGGACATAGCCAAGGTTTAACCTCAAACCATCTACATGAAGTAGTGGAAAAGTAAAATCTTTTTCGGATGTGATATAAGTTATGAAAGCAACCATAGAAGTGCATATATGAATGAGCTATTAATAACTAATTTTCAATCCATAAATATTAATATTAAACATAAATTAACCAGTGAAAAAGGTATGGATCAGATCCAGGGAAAGGAAAGAAACAACTACTATAAAAGACCTTTTAATAGATTCAGATCACAGAAACAGAAATATGAGTTTTTAGAGAATGCAACAATTTCATGTAAACATAGAGGTATTAAAAACATTAAGTACTGGTATTTGTCTAACGGCACTTGGACCAGTGCTAGAGGTACGAGTGAAACCATAAACATAAATATAAAAAATTGTTCTAACATAAATGTACAATACACTCACTAATATGTCAAAATTGTTTTCCTTATACGCAGCATTTTAACGCAAGTTGGGGGGGGGGGGGGGGAGAGTAAATTTGAATGCTCACCATTGTCCAGCCAATTGATCAGCTAGAATACACCTGCTGGAACGACTCGCTGTGTTGTCATAGTTGAAGTAGGATCCATTCCACAATGTGCCATATATAGATTTTGCCTTTTGATACTTCATATGAAAGTAGGCAGCAGATGCATTATCACCGACTTGACAAGCAATAGATGAAGTAGCTTGGAGGGCTGCCACCCAGAGCCCCCCACTGTAAGCACTCACACCAGTAACAGGCCATGCATCGTACGTTTGATCAGGGAACCCTTGATTCTCAATCATCCCATCTCCATCACTATCAAATTGATCCATAAAAGCCATTGCAGTATAAACTGAAGGCCAAACAGCCTGTGCAAAACTTTTGTCTCCAGTAGCAACAATATCCCTATGTATCTGGAGAACAAACTTGGAATTCAAGTCTTTCCAATTATCTGTATTAAATAGATTGTAAGCATTTACTTCAAACCAAGGGTCATTAAGCCCAATATCATGTGGAACTGCACCAAGAACCTTTCTTGGAACCCACTTTCCATCACACATAATTTCCACCTTGCTTGGATCATGCATCATAACTGCTACTGCAAAGTCTCTCTGGATGCTCAGTTCAAGCTTTGGGAATAGCATGAGTAGTGCAAAAGATGAGTAGAAATGAACATCATAAGTGTTCCACATGAGGTACTCACTCCCTTCAAGATAGAGGAACTGGCCAATGTTTTCTTCTCCATCCTGGAGCAAACGGGTTCCAAAAGCAGCATTTGATGTTAGAGGTTTATGTGCCTTCTCAAGTGTAGATGTCATCCTTTCTAGGATTTCAATAGCTATATCATCTTGATTTTCAGTGTCAATTGCATTATCCAAATGTGATCTAGACTTGTCAAGAGAAAACTTTCTCTCTCCCAGGGATACTAAACTTCGCATTGGAGGTGATCCATCTGTAGAAAGTAAAAGTTAACCTTCAATAATTGGGTTAAACTGCAATTCAAGGAAATATATTTATTAATCTCCATAAATACCTGTCCATATTGTCCCCCCTGCATTAAGGTAGTAGAGCTCATTGAAGAGAGTGATAGGGTACCTGGGAATTTTTTCTTGCTTTTAAAATTGTTGAACAAGATGAAAGATCACATATTTACTGAGCAGAAAATTCATTTAATCTTACCAGTCAGGAAGCCTTTTGTCTTCAAGAATTGGTCTTTGCCATGACTCTATCTGGGATTCCCAGGTGGAATGCTCTAAGTTAAAAAATACCAGAACACAAACATTGAACAAGTAAGCATTTTTGTTATTTCCCCCAATGACGTTCTAAACAAAACTATTTCCATAGTTGTTGTATGTTACTGTTGCTGTTCTTAAAATAGAAGTATAAGTCTGTCATGCGGACTGCATACACCATCTGGTACCAAATTAAACAAATTTACCACCATAGAGATGATGATAAGTCAAGCAAACATGGTACCTTCATAGAATACCGATAACTACAAACCATGTCAAGGGAAGAGTTTCCGACTCTTAATAGTGAGGAAAGCATTATACCTACTACATTAATAATGTGTTTCAGAAAATTTGCAAGGTTAATTTGTATCTCGGTAAAAGATCAAAGTCGAAACAAGTTCTTTATAGATATCTTATATAAGTTTCCTAACTGAAAATCTCCAATCACATTAATGAGACACTGCATAGTTTTTCTCACAACTAGCTACTACAATTTGAAATAATAACTATAAATTTGAGATAAGATCCAAATTTATCACTCTACTTAGAATGATGGATAAATTTATTTACCATCCAGTGTTCAACGGATGCAATTTTACCAATATAGTTTCTAATTTGATTAAAAAATGGTCAAAGTTAAAATATTCTTAAAATATTCCGTAGAAAATTTAAAGAACAATTGTCTTTATTTCTTCTTATTTAATCTACAGTGAAGGAGTACATCTAAATAAATAGGAATAGTGAAGTTACTTATTAGAAAACAATTTACATGAAACAAAAAACAAAAATAAATAAATAAATAAAAGGAAGGAGAATTATTCTAGTCTAAAATAAAAACAAGTTCCTAAAAACTTGATAATCAGAATAATTGACTAAATCAGAAAAGTAAATGAAAAATATTCCCAATATAAATTAGAAAATCAAACTACACTAATGTAGGAGAACCAAATCTGCACTAATATAAGAGAATTAGATTTCTACACTCCCCCGCTGGGTCATAAATGTTAATTATGCTCAGCTTGGATTTCAATCCATCAAAAATGCTTTATTTGCAATTCGTGAACTTGTAGGGATACAGGCTAGTTTGATCGACCCATTTTCTATCTTTTCCTTTATGAAATGTTGATTTAGCTCTAAGTGCTTGGTCCTATCATGATAAATAGAATTTTTGGCAACACTTATAATAGCCTTATTGTTACAAAATAGTGTCATAGATGTCACAATCTGAACTTTTAATTCTCCAAGTAACCTCATTAGCCAAATTCCTTCACAAATACCATGGGACATTACCCTAAACTCAGCCTCAACATTGCTTCTAGCTACAATAGCTTGCTTTTTACTTCTCCAAGTGACCAAATTACCTCAAACATAAGTGCAATATGCAGTATGGATTTTTTATTTGTTATTGATCCAGTCCAGTTAGCATATGTGTACATCTTGACTGTTCTATCCATTGACTTCTTAAAATAAAGACCTTCACCAAAACTCTTCTTTAGGTACTGCAGGATGCGATGAACAACTTTGAGATGCTTCTTGGTTGGATTATTCATGTATCTATTCACCATCCCTACTACAAACCCGATATCAGGTCTTATGTGAAAAAGGTAAATTAACTTCCCAACTAGTCTTTGGTATCGCCCTTTGTCTGTGAGAGAGCTTCCATTTTTGCTTCCTATTTTATTAGTTGAGTCTATAGGTGTATTGGCAAGTTTGCATCCGATCATGCTGGTTTCTTTGAGTAGATCAAGTAGGTACTTACGCTGAGACATTGATATTCCATTTTTAGGCTGAGCCATTACCATCCCAAGGAAATATTTAAGTAACCCCAAGTCCTTTATTTCAAACTCCTTTGTAAGGAGTTTCTTCAAATCATCTATTCCTTCTTTGTCGTCTCTAGTGATTATGGTATCATCCACATAAACAATAAGAATAACTTTTTTTCCTTCATTAGTGAACTTCGCAAACATAGTATAGTCAGATTGACTTCAAAAGAATCCATGCATCTTCATTGTCTTGGTCAATCATTCAAACCAAGCCCAAGGAAACTGTTTAAGTTCATGCAAAGATTTTTAGAGTTTGCACACCTTGCCTATATTGTCTTGCCTTTCAAAACCAAAGAAAATTTTCATATAGACATCCTCCTCCAAGTCACCGTTTAAGAATGCATTCTTGGTATCAAGTTGGTGAAGAGGCCAATCCTAATTGGTTGCTAATGATAATCGAACTATAATTGAATTGAGTTTGGCTGTGGGAGCAAATGTTTTCTCATAATCTATCCCATATGATTGAGTGAACCCTTTTGCAACAAGTCTAATTTTGAACCTATTTATACTTCCATCTACATTGTGCTTTATTGTGAAGATCCACTTACATCCAACCAACTTTTTCTCTTTGGGCAAATCTAAAATTTTTCATGTTCAATTTTTCTCTAGTGCCTTAATTTATTCAAGAATTGCTACCTTTCAATCTGGTTTACTAAGGGCTTCCTGAATATTTTTTGAAATTTACACATTATTAAGGTTAGTGGTAAAGGCTCGAAAGTTTGGATTTAACCTGTCATATGAGATGTACTTGCAGATAGGGTACTGGGTGCATGATCTCACACCTTTTCTTAATACAATAGGAATGTCATGGTCACCAGCAAGCTCACAAAGTTCAATTTTAGATTCAATAGAGACATTATATGTGTTAGTTTCAGATTCTTGGAGACTCAGATCATGTTGATTTCTAGTACTAGGCTGTGTACAGTTGTCCACTTTTTCTTGTGGTTTTTGCATCATTGAGTATACTATAAATTCTTTTGTTTTTTCTTGCATTACCTTAGAGTTTAAAGAGCCAAGAGTTGCAGAATAGGTTGGGTTTCGGAATTTGCATAGCTGATAGGTTAGGTAGGTTGAGAATTTGGTTTTGAAAGGGCTAGTTGAGATTCTAGTTTTGACAGGGCTGGTTGAGAATTAGGTTGGGAATCTAGTTTTGAAAGGGTTGGTTGGGAAATTGTCGAGTCAACAGCTAAGAATTGATATTCTTAAGTAGTATTCTCCCCATGAATATCATTCTTACTGTAGTATGGGAGATTCTCAAAGAAAGTGACATCCATAGAGCTATAGAATTTTTTTGTGATGAGTGAGCCATAGCCATTTTGGTTTGGGGAATAATCAAGAAAGATGCATTTAAGATCAAGCTTATTGTGATTTTGTTAGCTAATATGAACAAAGACAATGCAACTAAAGAGTTTGATGGGAATGGAAAAGATCAATTAAGTTTATGGGTAAGAAGCAAGGAGAGTTTGACAAGATGTTTTAAAGCCAAGAACTTGAGAAGGCATTTGGTTAATCAAATAAGTTGCAGTGAGGATAGCTTCTTCCTAAAAATATTTAGGCAAATTGGAAGTTAATAGGAGAGGAGAGATCTGGTCACTTCTATCAAATGTCTATTTTTATATTCGACAACCTCTTTTTATTGTGGAGTGTCAACGCAAGAGCTTTGATGGATAATGCCATGATTGGTAAGGTATGGGTCGAGAATAGAGTTGAAATATTCCTTTCCATTGTCAGTTTTTAGGACTTGGATTGTGGCTTGGAATTGGATTTGTACTATAATATTGAAGTTTTGAAAAATTTGGCTAACCTTGAATTTTTTTTTTCATAAGAACTACCCAAGTGAGTCGAGTATGATCATCTATGAATGTAATAAATCACCTAAAACCTATGATATTGTTAACTCTTGACGATCCCCAAATGTCATTGTAAATCATTAAAAAGGCTAAGATGATTTACAAGAAAGGCTAGGGTTATTTTGAGCGTGTTTGGAAAGTTGATAAATTTCACACTAAAAATCTTTAGAGATGTTATTGATTAATGAGAAAAATACTTTTTAACTAAATGAAATATTTGGATGTCCCTAATTTATAAAGACATAACATGATAAGATCATCCTTACTAGTACTAGAGGCTAAGGCTGTACCAAGAGTTTTGGGGTCTCTCAAGTGCCATCATCTTGAAGAAGGTAGAGCCCTGTACACATCCTAGCACAGCCAATAATCCTCCCTGAACCAATTCCTGAAATTCACACAAGTTGGAAAAAAATTTAGTGACACAACAACTATCCTTCGTAAGCTTACTGATAGAAAGTAGGTTACAGCTTAAATTAGGGACATGGAGGAAAGAGTCGAGTGTTATGTCTTTCGAAACTATAATAGAACTTATTCTTGCCACTTTTGAGAGAGAGCCATCAGGAATTTTTACAGTAGAACTATCATAGCAAGGTTTATATGTGTTGAATAAGGATGCATCTCCAATCATGTGATCTGATGCTCTTGAATCAACAATCCAAGATTGTGTATTTCCCCGTTGAACACTTAAGACGTTTAGAACATTACCTTTTTGTGCTAGTAAACTAGTTTTAAAAGTTGCACACTTGTTTTTAAGGGTTTGTTGGAGTATCACCTCTTTATGACTTTCCTCATGTCATAACTTTGCAGAAGAAGAGTTCTCACTCCTGCTAGCCATAACAGAAACTCTTATGGCTACAGCCTAATGGTTCAGGCCAACTTGCTCTAATACCTTGTAGAAAACTTAAAAAACAATTGTCCTTATTTCTTGTTGTTCAATCTATAATGAAGGAATACATCTAAATAAATAAGAACAATGAAATTTCTTATTAGGAAACAACTTACATGAAATAGAAAACAAAAAAAAAAAAAAAGGAGAATTATTTTATTCTAAAATATAAACAAATCTCTAAAAACTCAACAATTAGAATAGTTGACTAAATTAGACAAATAAATGAGAAATATTCCCAAAATAAAAAAAGAAATCAAGCTACACTAATATAAGAGAATCAGATCTGCACTATTGTAAGAGAATCAAACTTCTACATAATCCTTTATTTACTCACGAGATTATTCTTTTACTGTTAAATTTTGAAAATTTTAACTAAATTAAAATGCATAGTGGTAAAAGTGCATCCGTTCAAAGATGGGTAGCAAATGTGATCATCACGTTAAGTAGCGTGGTAAATTGGACTTTGTCTCTATACAACTTTTTATTATGCTAGGTCATGTTAAACATTACCAAAATAGCATCATGTGCAATATTTGCAGCTGCTTCACCTAAAGTGCCATAATATTTTGTATAGCGCCTGTTATTAGAGATATTTGATTAGTTCTCAGATGTATAACTTTCAGAAGTTAGCTTTATAAAGTTTCAAAGGACCAACGCAGCTAACTTGTAGTATGTCTTGTCACCAAATCCTCACTTCTGGACAGTCCCATGCAAGTGAGAATATTAACTCTACGGTCAGACACAGGAAGGACAGTCAGGAGGCTGCCTACAGCTGCTCCAATGGATGAATCCTGGTCTGAACGTGAAATTTCTTCAAAACCCAGGTTGTCACACGATCCATGCTGAACCAATGAATAAGGTATCAAAATTTAGCGATCTTCACATATGATAAATATTTTCTCTGGTTTTCCAAGGTGAGTGATTACTTAACCTCACACATCAGCGAAATTCTATTTATAGAAATTCATGATAAGTGTAAAAAACATTACTATGATTATGAAAAAATCGTAAAGGTTTTGTGTGCACTGTAACAATGAAAGCATAACCTTGCAAATAGGGAAACATACAGATTAATTTACTGAAAGTAAACTTAAAAAAAAAAAAAAAAACTAGATAAAACATCTAGAGGAACAATAAGAATAGCTTTTGGCTAAATATACCAAAAGAAAAAAGGTAATATCAACAACCTTTTTTATTTCATGCCACATATCTTTGGCACTGATTCCACTGGAACAGCCAGATACGAAGAAGCAAGGGCACTCTGAGACATGGACTTCACTAGTTTCTTTTGCTGCAATGGCAAAAGTAAGTGGAGGTTGTCCATTGGCTGTTCTGTGAAAGATATACTTCCTATTAGTGATGTGAGGTCTGAGTATTTAACCATATTAATATGAAGGACTTGATATCCAATGAAAACAAGAATCTATTACAAATTTCTCTAAGCAATGAAAGAACTTACTTGTGGTGTAAAAGTACTCCACAAACTCCATCTTCCGTCCTGGTGGCAGTAGAACATTGTAAATGGAATAAATTATTTGGTTCAATTGAGGACTGAAATACAATTAGATTAGGATAAATTAATCTGAATGTATTTAGATTAAAGATCATTGACTACAATCTTACTTCATCTTTGAGTTGAAGTGACCACCAGAAAATCCAGAGATCCCACCCAGCGAATTCTGAAAGTCAGATACAATTAATAATTATAGAGAAATATGCTTTAAAAATGTTTATTAAATAAAAAATAAAAGATGAACATAACAATTGAAAGTAAGATTTCAACTTACAGCCCATGTAAAAAGCAAGGTGACATCGGCAGAGGTTCTTCCAGTATTAGAGAGCTTGAAGTAGGCATAAAGCAATTAGATAACGCCAACAATCATTATAGATGAAAAGGTAGTGATACACATGAAGTCCCCAAGCCAGCATTTCCTAAGTCCTACCGTGAATGTAAACACTGATACAGGCAAACTGCTCTCTTTGTAGTTGTGGGGAATAAAAGGTGAAATTTGACGACAACTGATTCTAAGCTCCGGATCAGGTTGACCTGCTTTGCAAAAAACCTTATAAGATTGTGCACAACTGGTATACAAAATAGAAAGGTCCACAGTGTCCGAAGTTATACCTTCATAAATGGTCCATGACCTTGGAAACAAAGCATGGTATGTACACTTGTCCCCTTTCAAATTCCAATCCCAAGATTCAATCCCCAAACCTGTACTTTCCCTGCAAATAGTTTTTTTTTTAAAACTCATTATTGCCACAATAATTTCAAAATATTAAAAGAATTAAAGTTGTCAACTATAGATGGCTTACTTGGGAACCTCTGGACTTCTTGCACATAATACAGTTGAATATTTTTGTCCATTTGAACGTGATACAAAAGCCTTGATGAGAAAGAGAAGTACAAAAGTTTTGAATTAAATCAAAGGAGATATCAAATGTAAATATGTTAACTTAATCATTCTAGAAAAATACGTAACGGTTCAAATCTCTCTGTCAAATGAAATATAACCTCTATCCAGACAGATTTCTTTCTCCTCTATCCAGACAGATTTCTTTCTTACTAAAATCGACAACAAGCACTTACAATATCTTAAATTATAGAGGAGATGTTTTAGGTATGCATTCAAAAGGATAGGCACCTGCTTAATCACATACCAACTTAAAGCAACTAAATGAAATCAACTTAGAAGTTTGTAGTGCAATTCCAAGCACAAGACTTAGGAGGAAATCGTCCAGACCTTTCCTTTATTTCTTGGATAGTGAAATTTATCCCTATTGTACTGATTAACAAGTGACATTAAACTAAATTGATGTCTTCGATGTTGAAAACTTAGTTATCAGATTCGTATCAAGCAGGTATACTGGATCTAGCGTTAAACCAGCTATGGCTTTAAACTGTGAAAAGAAAACTTACAGAGAACTGATTTGCCAGGATTGGACCCTCTTCACATACTTTTGGAAACAGTTTAAAGTGTTGAAACTCACCTCTGTAACCCCTTCCAATGCTTCCAGCCCTAAAGTTCATGCTTAAAATGTAAGAGATATTTGGAGAATTTGAAGGTAACAAAAAAAAAAAAGAAAAGAAAAAGAATCGTGAACAGAAGCTGAATTTAGATGATATGAGGTTGAAAAGGAAAAGGGTGCAGGGAGACGATTGCAAGACGCTTTAAGGATATATAGTTTCTTTTAATTCTTCTTTCCTCAACTTTCCTTCTTCTAGTCTGAAACCACTAATAACAACCCTCTACTCAGAACAAAACAACACTACAACCATTCTCAAGCTCTTTATTTATTAACTAGAAAGGTTAAATAAGCAGAATTATGGATTAAATGAAGGTTCATAGAAAAAGTAAATCAACGTCGCCAAGCATCATAATTGAATTGTGCTTCCACTCCAATCTTCCTTTAGACCAGAATTTCTTATATTATTAGTCAAACTGAACAAATATATTATTACACCAGGTGCCTGTCAAGAAACTGGAGGATGAAACACAGATTTAACAGTGTCATTCTTCTTCTAATTTTCTATTTGATCATTGGACTTTGACAGCTTAAAGATATGCTGATTAGCATTTACATGCATTGCATCAGCAGCACAAATAGACTTTAAAGAAATTATTATATGAGAATTCCTTTTACAGTAGATTTGCCATTTTTTTGGTTGTGACAAGGAAATCATTGAAAACATTTCCGGAGTACTTGCATTATACTATAAACAACAAGCATTCTAATCACAGCTCAGAAGTTTTATGCCTTGTCATGAATCAATTTACTTTTTCACCAGGTAAAACCAAATGTAGGGTTCCAAAAACTGGAAAACATGCGTCCTCATTGTGCTTGCTAAACGGAGTCCTGCTCCTTTACATGCCAAGCAAGACATTGCACTCGGGAGTCTGGGTTTCAAGGTTAAAATGATATGGGTGCTGTTCAGTCTGTCCTAGTTGCTCACAATTTTAAAATCATAGAATTTGAAGTCAACAGAAATCCATTTGCTATTTCATTTTGTTTATGTTTTTCTCTTAAACCAAAAACAAAGAGAAAATTTCGTTATCTATCAGGTGGTACAATTTATCTGAAAATATTTGATATAAAAAATTCATTACATTCCACAAAGAAACATAATAAAATGCCATAACACAGATGAAGACTAAATTGATTTGTTAATTTCAGAACCAAAAATTCTATCTACTATTATATATTGTTTATTGTTTTCCATTTGTACTTCAATCTGTTACATGCTTATATTGATGTTTATGTTTTTAATTAATAGCTATTCCCCCCCGCCTCCTTTGGAACACTTGAAAGTTAGGAGTAGAAGTTAGAAACTCGTTCTGCAAGAGCTAAGGTATTCAATCTGGTTTTCTTGAGCAATATCTGAAGGAACTTATCAAATGACATATTCATAGGCTTACTTATCAATTGTAGAAGTGAAAACTTACCCTATACCACCTAAAGGAACGCCGTGATCACATGTAACAATGTGCTTTCTGAAAATATCAAATATTGATGTCTGAAAATAAAAGGAATTTTGTTCTGATTAGCATAAAAATTATAAAATGACCAACATTTGAAAGATCAGGATGTACAGAAAAATGAAGTCAGATATAGACATTAAAAGGTAAAATATATTACTCTTCCTGCTGCTTCTTCTTCTTTCGTGTAACGCCACAGCCGAAAACCTAGAGGTGCCTTTCCAAAAAACTCAAATAGTCAGATGAGATATTCTTATTAGCATCTAAAACATCAAGAGAAGATAGATTTTGAATGAAAAATCAAATATCTTCTTTATTGAAAACTAAAGGGCAACCAAGTAGAATGTACATTACCAAAACAAAAGGCTTATCCTTCTGCTTCAATCTTTTTGTCTTTTTTTTTTTTTTCTCTACAACATTCCCAAGTTACGGTTCACCAAGAGTTTTCATCTCATAATAACCTCGCTAATATCTCTCCAATTTTTCCTTTCTACAATTCGTTACATAAATCTTTTTAACTATTACTCCATTTCATTGTTTTTATTGTAATTGATACTTTGTAATACTAATTATTGAGTGACTAGCAAGTCTTCAGGTTTCCGGAGATAATCTATGAAAAAAAGATCTTGACTTTTCCATATGTCATAGTAGATGAAATACATGCTTTTGTCAGGTGGCTAGTCCTTGAAGAAGAGGAAATTGTTCTTTTTTCTTAAATTCTCTATTCAAGTGTACAATTTATTAAACGGCCGAAATAATTGATATCCTCATTTTCAAAATCTTTGATTCTTTTTTCATTCCAAAGGCAACCATCTGCTTATCAGCTTTAAAATCTTATGTTGAAAGGCTAGCTATCCGCATACGACATTTGGTATGTAATTTTACCTGGAGAAAAGCATATAATCTTAGGCAGCTACAGACGTACCAAAAAAATTATGTCTTTGAAACTAAGGCCAAAAGCAGCAGGGGGTTTTCCGATGCTGTTCAATTGCCGCTGCCACGTGAGGTAAGCAGGTTTCCCTGGATCAACCTATTAATTTGCAGAATAAGGTTGGTAAGTTTAAAAGGAAGCATGAAACAATAATATGAAATTTTCCGGAAAAAACTGTGCGAATCACCTAATAGACATTATTCATCCATGCCCCATTCTTTATTCATTGCCTGCAACCTAATAGTATAATCATATCTGTTTATCTCAACCAGGATGACACGATAATATTTGAAAATGAACTCAGACATCGTCAGTTTATTTGTCAAAGAGTAAACAACTACGTTGAATTCATCAACTCAAAACCAAGAAACATGTATTTTACAAGTTTTGTTTTAACATATAACTTCTATTTCACTGCAAACACCCAAATGTTGCATTATTTATCAAAACAACTGGAAGTAACCTGCTTAGAAAGGATATAGTAACAGAAAAGCTCCACGAAGAAATTTTCGAAAAAAATATCGAGAACTTATAGCTGCCATCCTACAATGTGAGTCAGCTACAGCATCTTGAAGAAACATAAAGTAACAAAGGAGATTTGGCTTTAAAATCAAGGGATAAGGCAAGAATTTTATCCAGTATTTTGTAGGCAATGGACTTAATACATTCTGCTGGTTTAACAAGCAGCTTCTCTATGGAACCATATCATAGTTTATGACAGAATAATAGTCAACAAGAACCACTGAGATTCCATGAAATTAGCTACATTTATCAATACAATGTGGAAACCACGCGAGAAAGGTATGTTCTTCATTAACAGTGCATGGGAAATCTGCAAAGTATATGAAAATTCTGTTCCTTGCAAAGTTTTTGATATCTATAGACAATGTTTTCTACAAGATTAGTTATGAATGGACTCAGAGGATTCTCTGGATAAAAAAATGGAGTCCAAAAGGACAATATATCTAAGGTATGTTCTCTTACAAAACATTTTATTTCTTAAATGTGCGTTATTTGATTGCATTTGGCAGAACATTCTAAGAAAACGATGTATTTAAAGAACTGAAACCGGTGATAGAATGAGACTAACTACAACAACGTTGCATTAGAACTGGTGCAATAAGAGCGGTTAGAGGTCTTTAGCAGCAACTGTATGCTGATATCGGTCTGAGGGGGAAAATCACTAAAGAAAAGTCTTGCATCATGACAATTTGGAAAAGATCATTTTGATGTGCAGATGCATTTTAGATTCAGTAAAGCCAAACCAAAGAATGAGGACTGATCAATATATCCACAAAAATGTCTTTTAGTAAGCATATGTTTTTTTTTTCGCTACAGTCAAGAATCTATCAGCAGAGATAATCAATCCTAGAAAGCAATAAGAACTTCAAGGCTTCAGACACTATTGAAAAGAAATGTGGTTAAACTGATCTTTGGTCCCTGGTTGTTGCCAAACAAAGCAATCAACATTCTTATTTTGCCCAGCGTCAGCTGACAAAATAGTCTTTTACCAACCTCAAGATATCTTAAACCTCAAGAATAGTTTAGTCATATGACCAAACCGACCTGATAGCATGGCAAGACACCTGATATTTCACCTATATCTCCAGACCAAGCTAACAATTCACCTACCACCTCAAGTCGAGTCATTGAGAGTTGGTCACGTCATCCCTCAAGTATGAATTACCCTTCTGTCCCAATTCTCATTCTCAATATACTCACTTATCTTTTTCTCTCCCCTTTCAATCTTTTGATTGGAACGTCCAAACACAGACGTTATCGAAACACAAACATTGGAGTCACTTCCGATCTTTGTCTTGTCATCTCCTTGGTTTTGCACTTGCCTACTTGAGTTCAGATTTGCTCAAACAACATCTTTTACAGAAATTCTGGAAAGCCTATATAGGACTTTGGAAAGTTTATGATTACTTTTAAAGTAAAATACATTAGGTTCTTGAGTTTTAAGCATAATTCAACACAGGTTCATTAATTTAAAAAATTAGATATTTCGTCTCAAAACTTTTCAATAAATGGCACAAGGTTAATTCCGTTAAAAAGCTCATTAAAAAATTATTTTGTTTCTAAAAAATTAATATTTTTAAATATTCATATAAAATAATTATTTATAATATTAAATTTTTTAAAAATATATAAAATATATTAATAATGCATAAAAAAAGATTTTTACATGCAATATATAAAAATAAAATTCACAATTATAACAAAAAAAAATATTATAATAAGAACAAATAATATATAATAAGCAAATACTCACATAAAATAATTATTTATAATAATATTTTTCTTAAAATATATATAATATATTAATAATATATAAAAAAATCTTTTAGGATGCAATATATAAAAACAAATATCAAACTTATACAATAACATTTTTTTCAACTAAATATTTTCTACTTTCCTTAATTAATATGTTAACATGTTCTTATTAATATAATGAGAAAAAAAAAGTTATAATAAGAACATGTAAACATATAATAAGAACAAATATTTAGTTGAAAAAAATTTTATTTATATTGTGAATTTCTGTTTTTTATATATTGCATTTGTAAAGAACATGTAACGTATAATACACAAATACTGCATATAAAAATTATTAATAATAAGTAATTTTTTTCTTAAAATATATATAATATATTAATAATCATAGTAAAAAAGATTTTAAGGTCCAAAATATAAAAATAAAATTCAAAATTATAATATAAAGAATGTTATAATAAGAACATGTAACATATAATAAGATAAAATATTTTGTTGAAAAAATGTTATTTATAATTGTGAATTTTGTTTTTATATATTGCATTTAAAAATATTTTTTATATATTATTAATATATTTTAAAAAAATTATTATTTATTATGTGAATATTTGAGAATATTGATTTTTTAGGGGTAAAATGATCTTTTAATAAATTTTTTTAACAAAATTAATTGACAAAAGGACCTTAATGTCTTATTAATTAAAAAAATTTGGAATGGAATATCTATTTTTCAAACTATTAACTTGAGTTAAATTAGACTTAAAATTCAATTTTACCCTTACTTCAAGATTGAGCTTCATCCTGGCCGAATTCATCTCTTTAAAATCAGATTACCCTTGAAAGAATAATCATAATTCGTAGCTTTACTGACAAAAAAAAAAAATAGTTCACATAGAAAGTATAAAGAACATGACATTGCTTTTCTTTATTGCTACAATCCAACATCTTTGAGATTCCTTCCACTATGAAAGAACAAAGATGAATATGTAACGGCTTTTTTTGCAAAGAAATTATGGGATTTTGGAAAAAGAGTATTTTATCTATAAATAAGAACAGAAAAATTTTAGATGAAAATTTTTAAGTGAAATTAATAAAATTTTTATTAAAAATAATTAACTTAAAATTAAAATTGAAAATTAAAATGATAAATTGAAATATCTTATTAGAAAGATCAAGTATGTAAAATTTAAAAAAAAAAATTAACATATTTTGATATATTTTTAAAATAAGCATTTTTAGTAAAAACTTGGATAAAATTTTTATCATTAAATAAGTATTGATTAAATTTAAATTATAAAGAGGATTTTTAATAATTGTTTTATATATTATAAATTTTTTCATTGAATTCTATCAATTTATCATTTTGAATTTTTTTAAAAATTTTTATAAAATTATTTTTTATAAAAAACTTTACAAATTTCACATAAAATTTTTTTCTAAATCTACCCCCTAATTGATACATAACTTTCCAATACAAAAGAAAAAAAAAGAAGACACAGGATGGAATTTTGAGCATAGAAACACTGTAAGTAGTTGTTACATTCACTGTTGTCTTAATCACATCATTATGAACAAAGACGTTAATTAAAGACAGGATTTTGTATTGAAATAAATCATTTGGCCAACTTACCTTAAGCAAAGCAGATTTGCTAGTTGGATCGTTTTCAAGTGTTTCTTCGACAGAATTCTCCATATTACCTGACAAGTAAACGAAATTTTCAATGCACTGAGCTAAAGACAACCAAATTCCTGTTTTTCTCACACACATGAAAGGGGATGTGGTTTGTGGGTTGGCTTCATATGTGGAGAGCAGATTCCACCTTAACATTTAAATATGCAACACAATATAATCCTTGTACCACTTTCAATTCTTAAAAGAGAAAGGTTATATACGCACACGTACATACACCAAACATCAACTTTTTTAGACTAATAAAAAGGGTTGTTTTATTCTTTTATTAAAAATGTCATTACAAAATACTCGTGTATATAGATAGCATTGTCCATCTCAAAATGATCGTCCAATTAAAATTTTTAAAATAAAAAAATTAACAAAATGAAAAAAAAATGTTTTGTTTAGTTTCAAGGAAAAAAAAAAAAACAAAGAAAAGATTAAAACAAGAGGGGAAGGGCAACTGTAGGGGAGAATTTTCAACGGGGACATGAAGGTTCAATCCTCTGCAGCACGATGAGAATGGTTTCTATTAAAGATGGCAATAGATCTGAGCCGAAATAATTTTTTATTAGTTTTAAATTTAATTTGATTCGGTTCGATTTGATATTATATAAAATTATATTCAATTTAATTTGATTCGAAATTAATAAAATATTATTTTTTAATATAAATATAAAATTAAATAAATATAAAAAATATAATATAAAATTAAATAAATAATTAAAAATAATTTTTTATAAATATATATCGAATCGAGTTGAAGCGAGTTTACCTAAAATCCCACTTCAATTTGACTTCGAAAATTTTTTTATTATTATTCGCTCCGATTCGAAATTTGATTAAAAAAATTTTAACTTTAATCAGTCGAATCGAATC